ACTATGCCTACAATAACAGACAGACAATTTTTATTTATTTTTTTACATAAAAAAAGAAAACAAGAGACGTCCTAAGGGGCAATACTCCATACACACCACGACTAGGCTACTTCAGGCAACGCCAGCAACACCCACGCCACACTAGTTACCTCATACACACAGTCGGACAGACCCTTATAACTGCTTAGCCAACCTAAAATGTGCAATCTACATAGTCGCCAAATGTGTACTACATCGCAACTAACACCGCTAACTGTTCTTATGATACTGGCATGGAACAAATACTGTTACTTATTCTTTTTGCACAAAAACAAGAAAAAGAATTTAAAAAAAAAAAGTCTGTAATGTATGTACATATGTTATTCATCTCCACTGGAGCAGCAAAGAAAGAGGATTGGGGGTCGTTCCTTATAAATAGACTACGCCAGATGCTGATTGGCTACTGAATATTCAATTTCAGCTACGTGACTGGTTTTTCTCTGCTGCTGGAGTTTTGTAAATAAAGTTAATGCATAATGTGAGCCTCCGGTCTTGTGATAAAAGACAGGAAACTCAAATAATAACTGTAATACAAAGTTTAGACACAAGATGTCCCCAAAGGATTACTTAAAAGTAAAAGATGGTAAAATTGCATTCAAATTTTTAGTTATAATATAATATATTCTTTTGTGGAGATTCTCCTAACCAGAAAATATTATACTTAAAATAAAAGAATAACTTGAAAAATGAAATAAAAGCAGGTTGCCCAGTTCCAGGCTGATTTAATGTCAGGCACCCCCTGTTGGAGTGTTAGATGGGGCAGGCTGGGTCTGGGGGGAATCTTTATATTTTATTAAAGGGAAACTATAGTGCCAGGAAACAAAAGTTGTTTTCCTGGCGCTATAGCTTTTCCATCCATCTCGTTCCCCCCCCCCTCCACAGTGTAGAAGAGGTTTAAAATCCCTTTGGTCATTTACCTCAATGCGATGTCCCTTGGCACTGGCTCAGGTCTGCCTTCGCTCTTCCCCCGCCAACCTTAGCCAGCGGAAAAGACCTAATGCACATCCTCGGCTTTCCTATGGGGTTTTGGGTGACGCAGGACATTCTCAATGCATAGGTGAGGACATCATGTCAAACCAAAAGTCTCCCAACAAATACACAAAAGTAAGTCCTGCGCTCAGACTCCCACTACTCCAGGGTGGCAGCAATGACCATAGTGCACATCAGCCTCAATACATACAATAAAAAGAGTTACCTGCACTGTAGCCCAAATCCCTATGCATATGTATTTAAATGGAGGATTTTAGTAACACCCCAATGGCCATTAGATGGAAGCCCACCTGCCACATCAAAGCAAACATCTTAAATGGATCCTACACTGACTATTTTATAAATTATTTTTTTTTCAGCTTCAGGTAAAAAACTAAAATATCTAATGAGACAGAGAGATGTATTTTTCTAAACCCCTACATACTTATTAAGCCTTATTAGGACTAGAGGTGCAGTTAACCGACAAAGCTAATTATTGCATTTCTTAATAATAACCATTGCAGGGTTAAGGGACTGGGACAGTGCACTCAGACTACTGCAATGAGCTGAAGTGGTCTGGGTGCCTATGATGTCCCTTTAAGATTTACATCTTGCAACAAATAGAAGATCTAGTCCTTTGCAGGCACTCCAAGCGGCGCCATAGGGCTATATTGCTGATGCCGCCAAGGACAGAGACGATAACAATTTAAAAATCCATAAATATTAGATAAGATAATCAATATAAAATGTACACAATACTCCCAAACTCCTTTATTCTATTAAATATAATCACAAAAATGATGGTTACGACACATTTACTTTGTGTTAACATTTTTGTTTGAAAATATTTAACAAAGTAGAATCTATGAGGTAGTCGGAACATGAAAAAAACTCTTCATTCTGATCTAAAGAATCCATAGGTTTCTTCATAGACCTCTCCCAATCTCCTTTATTACTCTTTTAAAAATGCTATGAAGAAACTGATTTGGAGTTGGAGAGTGGTTGACTGGGAAGATCAGATTGCTTTAGTAAAAGAGTAGTAAGTATCTAGAACAGCCTCGATCTGGTAAAGGAATCGAACAATGCTTGGGATATGGTTGTCATGAAAAGTAAGTAAAACATTTCGTAGTATTTTTCTATCTCATTGGCTCCCAAATCCCTCCTTATTGACATTTGGCAAAAACCTCCTTGAGAGGTCATAATGTTGCTATGGTTACTATGTTTTTTAATAAATTTACCTGAATTGGTATTGGGGTTTTATAATGATCCCCACTGAAAGAAAAACGGAAAGTCCTTCATTTCTGACCCATTGCAGTGCAGGAGAACCTGTTTGGAGGCCCACAATTTGTTACTTCCGCACATACCACGGCCATTTTACCCACCGCACTCTCCTTAGTCCTTTCTCCATAATCCCTGTTCAGTTTAACAATATCTATGCTTCCCTTCTTAGTTACACCAACTGCTAGCTTCAGACTCTGCATTTATTCATTTACATTTGAAAGCCCACTAAGCCGGTCTCTCTCAGCAAGAGTAATCCTTGGAGGATTTCGTAATGCAAAAAAATAATGCCTTTTCCATATGTGTCCCAATTTCTTGAAATCAATGTTTAAAGGGACATTCTATGCACTATATACACTGCCACCCATTGTAGTTTTGGTTATAGTGGCAGTATAATATTGGGGCTTTTACTAGTTTGGTGTCAAGCCATTTGTGACCTGTTAACCACAAACTGTATGTAGCCCATGGAGCTGTGCAGCTAAGGGAAATGGGCCTTGACATGGCTAGGAGACAGGATTAGAAGGGGTGTAGTGTGGGGGATTAGCTAGTGTAATTGGAGGTGGGATTTGGCTAGAGAAGTGTGTGTATATATATATAATGGCCATTTTATATTAGGGGCCATTTTAATTAATCCTCACTTACCTGTTTTGTCCCACCCTCCCTCCATTTTTTGGTCTCTAGCTCCCGTTTGGTCACGGCAGCAGGGGATGGATAGAGAAGTTGGGGTGTAGGTTGTTTGTCCTGATGTAAAATAGTTTGGTTGGCTAAGAACATTTAGGTTTGGAAGGGTATTGGTAGGTTCGAGCTCGTTGGTAGCTTTGTACCTGGTGTGTGTAGGGTGTATCTCGGTATACCCCTACATGGGAAAATTTATTTTTATGGTTGGCACTTAAGAGTTTTCCCTGTGCCTGGATTAAACAGGATCACCTACCACCATAGGTGGCTACACGTTGTTCGGTAGAAAGATGTAACAGCTTACATGTGAACGGCTATATTCACCATACGAATTAAACTACCGAACAACCAGACCACTCTGATGTGAAGGGTGGCTGTAATTTACCTCCCTGATTGCTTGTTACATTCCCTTGAACGCACGAACACTCTGTTGTATTCCCTGGCGAACAGCGATGTTTGGTCGTCGAGTGTCTGGAACTCAAAACGGACACTCGACTAACCGAACACCGCTAAGACCTCCAGGGCTTCGGAAAGTACAGATGGAAACGCGCGAACGGCCCGTCGTTCGGTAGGATGAATCCCACGAACTAGGGGATTCATCCGGTTACAAACCTAACTGTGGATGGCATAGCCTTTCGGGCACGAACAGAGACCGACCGCAAGGCCAGATCTCACGGAGCTATTTTCGGCTACTTGACTGGTGTATAGTCGCCATATGGGCAGTCGGAACCTTGGACAACAACCACCCCACATACCTATCCCCAATAACACGCTGACACTAGGTATATGGGAAAAATTGTCCACAGCTTTATTAACAAACATAGTAACGATACTAATAATTTAACATATATATAAAACATGGGTCATTGCCCCCCATCCTCCGCCCTCGCATCTATACCTTCATTAAATATCAGGGCAATGACCCAACATAAGCAACACATAAATATATATAAATAACGCTTTAACCTTACTCCAACATGAACCGATTTGAGTGCCAACCATAAGTAACCACGGTAGGGGTATACCCAGATACCCCTACCCCACCAGGTTCTGAGCCACCTCCAGGACTCGAAACCCACCATCCACCAGTGACCACAATTCTTCATGTTCCTCACGTTCCTCATGGAGAGCCTATTTTGCCTTCCCTAGCTCTCTATCCCGCCGCTGTGACAAAACGGGATAAAACAGAAACAACCCATTACAGGGAGGGAGGGTGGGACAAACACAGCTAGGCAGAAATTAATGTGCACATCTTAAAATGGCTGCCTATTAAATAGCCAGCCCCCATCCCATAATCCCACAGTCCTGCTTGGTCCCTCCTATGCCCGCCTCCTAACCCCTGTCAAGGCCCTTTTCCGCTAAGCTGCGCTCTGGCTACATGGGGCTACATGACTGGTGTATAGTCGCCATATGGGCAGTCGGAACCTTGGACAACAACCACCCCACATACCTATCCCCAATAACACGCTGACACTAGGTATATGGGAAAAATTGTCCACAGCTTTATTAACAAACATAGTAACGATACTAATAATTTAACATATATATAAAACATGGGTCATTGCCCCCCATCCTCCGCCCTCGCATCTATACCTTCATTAAATATCAGGGCAATGACCCAACATAAGCAACACATAAATATATATAAATAACGCTTTAACCTTACTCCAACATGAACCGATTTGAGTGCCAACCATAAGTAACCACGGTAGGGGTATACCCAGATACCCCTACCCCACCAGGTTCTGAGCCACCTCCAGGACTCGAAACCCACCATCCACCAGTGACCACAATTCTTCATGTTCCTCACGTTCCTCAGCCTATTTTGCCTTCCCTAGCTCTCTATCCCGCCACAAGCTCGGACCTTGACCCCTCAAGCCGACCGAGCTCCGCCACCCCGAAGAAAGAGAGCCCTCTGCATCCCCTCCTGCAAACCCAAGTTCAGCAAATCCAGACCCACCGCTGAGAGATGGACGCCGTCTGTGTGGTAATAACCCGGCAGCCCGCCTTCCAATTCTACGTGCCTCACTACCACGCCCCCCAATTTCCTCACGAAGCTTGCCATCAAGCTGTTAACTTTTCCCCTGCATCTGTCGATGGCCACCGGGTCCCTCGTGTGCCGCCACCGACGCCTCGGAACGATCTCAGACCACACCAGCATCACCCCAGGAAGCAGATCGAACAACCTGTTCAGGTCCTGCTTCATCCATTTAACCAACCTACGTTGCGGAATGAGGCCCAGGTCATTGCCCCCCGCGTGCAGAACTAGCATATCTGGCCTCGCCCCGCCTGCTACCATCCGAATTATCACCCCACACACGTCGCCCCAGCCAAATCCCTTAAAACCCAACCATCGCACTGTTAGGAGGTCTTTCGGGAAGCCCAGCTGTTGGCCCTGGGCTCGAGCTGCAGCTCTCCGTCCGGCCCAAACGATGAAGGAATGGCCCACAATCCATGCGACATAACCTGGGGAAGAAGGAAAACAACGTAAAACACCCACACCCAGACCGTGGCCCTCCCCACGACCGATACAGCCCGCATCACTGATCCAACAAACCCAAGCGCACATACGTGCGGAACCGAGCGGATTCCCATCTCCCAATCCTCTTGACTAACTCGTCCCCCATGCCCAGGCGCGCGGCCTCAGTGGCCGCCCCTATGCGAAAGGAATGAGTCCCATAGGCAGCAGCACTCAATCCCAACGCCCCCAGACCCGATCGGAACACCTTAGTAAATTGAAAACGAGAGAGCGAGGAGCCATCGGCATGAACCAATAAAGACCCCCCGACTGCCGGTCTCAGTTCCAAGAACCGAGCCACTGCCGCAACCGGGCACAGCGATGACCCGGGCAGGGGACCCAGCGTCACATCCCGGCCCACACCCATGACGTCCGTTTTGGACGTAGCTAGGTATACCACCAGGTTCCCTGCGAGCATGCGAACACCGGATACCTGCAGACCCCCCGACTCCGACCGAGTAGCGCTCACCAATTCCCCTATTCGGAATGCCCCAAAGAAGGCCAAGAGAAAAGCTGCCCTGAACAGGGCTACCTCAAACCCGTCGAAGCAGATTCCTGGAAGCACTCGGAGTAAGTTCCCAAGCACCCGAACCGAGACCGGGCGCCTAGTATCCGGTGCCCTCCGGCCCCTCCGATACCCTTTGAGAGCTTGCCTAATGACAAACGCTTTTGTGAGGTCCTCCCACCCATGGAATTTAAACCAAAAGGCCATCGCTGCCATAGTCCTATCAACCATTGCGGGGGACACACCTTTTGCCAGCAAATGAAAAGTGAACCACAGGAAGGCGTCCTGCGACGATTCCACCTGTGGCCCCTGGCCGAGCCCCTCCCAGGAACGTTCCCAGGCACCCCAAACCTTACTGTATGCGGTCCAGGTGGCTGGTGCCAGCAAAGCCCTCACAAGTCCCCCAAGCATGATGCTCCGAGCTGCCACATTTCGTCCGGGCACGCCTGCCCTGTCTCCTGAGCCTCCGGAGCCGCCGCCCGAAACCGGGACCACTGAAAACGAGACAGAGCATCAGCCACCTCGTTCAAATACCCGGGCACGTGACGCGCGCGAAAAACTACATTAAGGGACATGCACAGCAAAACAAAACGTCGCAATAGCTTCACCACCGGTTTGGATGCTGCCGACTGGTTATTGACGGCGTGCACCACCGACATATTGTCAGAGAAAAAGACCACTTTGCGGTCGCGGAGCCGATCCCCCCACAGGGCCAATGCCACCACCAACGGGAACAGCTCCAGAAAAGCCAAGTTCCGTATGAGGGGGCTTCGCCCCCACGCCTCCGGCCACCTCTGAGCACACCATCTCCCCCCGAAGTAGGCCCCGAAACCCACGCTACCCGATGCGTCGGTGAACAGCTCCAATTCGGCCGTAGACACACCCTCCTGACGGAAGAACACCGTCCCGTTAAAGTCTTGCAAAAAGACCTTCCAGATGTCCAGGTCAGCCCTCATCGAGGAAGAGACCCGAACGAAATGGTGTGGAGAACCGACCCCTGCGGTGGCTGCCGACAGGCTGCGGCTGAACACCCTACCCATAGGTATCACCCTGCAGGCAAAATTGAGCATCCCGATCAACGATTGTAGCTGCCGCAGGGTCACCTTACGCGCCCGCTGCACCGCGGTCACCGCACTGCGCAGTCCGCACAACTTAGCCAGAAGCAGCCGACATTCCCCAAGCACCGAATCTATCTCCAAACCCAGAAAGCTGAGGCACTCGGTCGGGCCCTCAGTCTTGTCCGCCGCCAACGGCACCCCGAAGTGGCCCGCCACCCACTCAACTGTCCGCAACAGGTGCCGGCAGGCGGGAGAACCCGCCGGCCCCACGCAGAGGAAGTCATCCAAATAATGCACCACCGCTTCGTTCCCCGACTCCACCCGCATCACCCATTCGAGAAAGGTACTGAACTTCTCAAAATAGGAGCACGAAATGGAGCAGCCCATCGGGAGACATAAGTTGACGAAGTAACCTCCTTCGAAGAAGCACCCCAGTAGATGGTGACAAGCCGGATGAACCGAAAGCAAGCGAAAAGCAGCTTCGATATCCACCTTGGCCAGTAAAGCCCCACGCCCGGCCCTCTTAACCAGCTCGACCGCCTGGTCGAATGATGCATAAGAGACTGAGCACAAGTCCCCATCGATATCGTCATTCACAGACGCTCCCCTAGGATAGGACAGGTGATGAATGAGCCGAAACTTCCCGATCTCCTTCTTGGGAACCACCCCTAGTGGTGACACCCTAAGGCCCTCAAGCGGCGGCTCTGAGAATAGACCTGCCATCCTGCCCAACCGCACCTCTTTACTAAGCTTCTCCCGGACCACATCCAGAAATTCCCTCACCGATTTCAGATTACGCGTACACAACGAACCCCCCCTCGCCCGGAAGGGGATGAAGAACCCCTGTCCAAACCCCGACCTAAACAGCTCCGCGTCCCCCTTATTACCGTAGCGGCTTAGCCAGGGTTCCATCGCGTCGAGCCTCACCAGGGTTAGGCCCCGGGGCAGCAGCTGTCCCACCGCCCCCGGTCGCGGGAGGAGCTCCGGCTCCGCCCGACTTACCTTTCTTACCCCGTGAGTCCCACCGCAGCCCGCGCATTCATGCTTGAAGCGGCAGGCCGCCCCCCACTTGCACTGACCTTCGTTGAACGACCAGCATAAGCCCTTCTGCAAGGCGGCCGACGAGGCGGACTGTCCCTTTGCGCCAGCCGCGTGCTGAAAGGGCTGTGCCTTCTGCGCCATCATCAGCTTCATCCACAGGGGCAGGTCCATTTGGTCCCACCTCATCCCCGGATTGGCTGCCAAGCGCTGCCGGAACTGCTCATCGTACCGCCACCAAGCCAGCCCGCCGTAGGTGCGATACGCTTCCCAGATCCCGTCCAAGTAACAGAATAGGGAAGAGCAAGAACTCGGCGATTTCTCCCCTATCACACTGGCCAGGACGCAGAACGCCCTCAGCCAGTTCCCGAAGGACTTCGGTATCTTCCGATACCGCTTCCGCTTTTCCTCCTCCTCCTTCTTTTCGTCCTTCTTATCCTCCTCCTTGAGGTCAATGAAGTCCTCCAGAGGAAGAAGGGAGAATATCTCACAGAACTCCCCCTTCCAAAATTTTTCTTTCGCCTCCTGCTTGAGGTGCACCCCCAGCGGGCCCGCGAATGACACGTAAGCATGCTGCCTAGCCGCGTCCGACACTCCCCCCGACAATTCCGCCCGTTCGCACCCCACCTCACCCGGGCTGGACTCCACACCCGCCTCCCCGCTGGGCGCGGTTACCACAGGAGCCCCGCTACCATGCCCCGCCTCGCCGGACCCTCGCGTCCAAACCTGACCTACGTCACCCGAAGTGCCACCCCACGCCCCCAATGAGTGGAGCAGTGACTGAAGTGTTTGAACTAGTGTATTGGACCCTAGGGGGCCTCTGGACTCACCGGCCAAGCCCCTCGATCCGTCCGTACCCGGGGCTGCATTGTTAATCGCTGCGTGACCTGGATGCGCAACATCCGCCGACGTCCCGCCAACCAGGGAGCCCACCTGGTGCCTCGACAACGTGGATTATGAACGGCTCGGAGACCTGAAATGAGGAGAAGACATCCTGGGTAGGGGGTAGTGCTCTCCGGCTCCCCTCCCGTCCCGACCCAGGGAGCGCCTGCCTGCCACCAAGGCCTCCCGCCGTGCACCACTCTCCCGCTGTCCCCCGTGAGCCCGCTCCCCCCCGCCCCGAGGACTCCGACTCCTACCCTCAACCCTCGCTGCCCTCCCCTGTCGTCGCCGCCCCAATGACCCTGACCTAGTCTCTACTGAACTTCCCGAGGGAGAGCGCCTACGCCGAGCCCCTCTTTTCCCCCGCGCCCTCACAGGTGAAGAACCAACGCTGCTAGAGACCGACCCGGAGCTGTCACCAGGCCCACCACCCTCCGACCCACTAGACCCGGCCTCCGAGCCCGCATAGCCCCCCCCCGCCCCTGCGCCCCCCGCCCCTGGGAGTGGCCCCCAGACACCCCCCGCCCCCTATGCTTCACCGCCCACTTACCAACCCCCTCCTTACCAACCGCAACACCTACCTCCCTCGCCCGCCCAGCAGATCTCCCAGACACTCCAAGGGACACCCCCAATGCCCCCAGCAGCCCTACCGCAGAGCCCCCCCCCCCCCCCCCCTCAGAAGGTCCCCCACAGACACCCGAGCCCCTCCCCCAGCCACAGGCACACTACCCCCAGGCTGCACCCCTAGGTTGGGCCCCACGCCAAGGGGACCCCCAAGGGGGCCCCCTGCAATTGCCTGTTCCGTCCTGGGCCCGGTCCGTGCCTTCCCGGCCCGCTCTCCTCCGTCCGCCGCTCCCACCTCCTGAAGAACGCGCCCGGCCTGCCTGCTCAAGTCCCGGCAGGGCCGCCACACCGCCGGTGCGTCCGCCGGTCCCGGCGCCGCCCCGACCGGTCAAGGGGGCGTGCCGTCTGCTGCCAGGGCCGCAGCCCGCCGAGAGCCCGCCTGCCGAGGCCCTGGCCGACTGCCGGGAGGCGGTGCCTCGACCGCGCGGCCTCCAGGCCTGCCGCGGCCCTCTTCCCCAGCCGCAGCACCGCTGGTGAAGGGAGTCACGGGCCCCGCGCCCGGACTCAAACGCGTTGGTGGCCTCCTGGCCCGCGCCGGGCGACCGCCGCTGCCATCTGCCGCCGCTAGGAGGGGCCGCCTGGGCCCTGTTGCCGCGCCGCCGTCCAAATCCCATCCAGGAGCCGCTCCAC